TGGCCCGCAGCACTGAGGGTCGTGGAGGGAACCCAAGCCTCTACAGGACGCGTCCAGGCGTGAGCATTGCGGCCGCCGCCCTGGTCTATGTCCCTTAGAAGCCACTCCTTCCACGACCGCTCACCTGCAGCTCGAGCCGCCTTGGCAGTCGAGTCCAGTAGGTCAGCTAACTCGATGGACACGCCGCCTATGGCCTCCAGGGTGATCTTGTCCTGCCTAATGAAGCCCGAGACTCTACGGTGGGCCTCGAAGATAGCACCAGACCCCATGTGCTTCTGTATGAACGGCGAGGGGAACTCCAGAACCTTCTTGGCACTCATAATAGGGATCCCACCAGAACAGTTGCGATGCAAGGTCCTCCAGGAAGTGGTCCAATCCCTGAAACTCTGAGAAAGCCATCTACAAACAAAAAGTTCAGGATGCCGAGCTGGCCGCTGGTCACGCCCCAAGACAGGAACCCACCAGGCCTTGGGAATCTCTCCTCGACACCCAGTCTGGGGGAGCTTAACCTGAAGTTGATCGGCAAGCTCAGCTTCGGCAAGGTTGGCCCATCGCTTATACAAGTCGGTGAGCCCGTAGTGAGCATCCAGAGAACCCCGACGGGCACATTCCAGAACTTCATAAGCCAAGTCCAGCGTGGAATCCCAGTCCTGGGGAGCAGGTCCAGGCCCGACAGGGACTTCCACAGGCAAAGGAGGAGGCTTCCTGAACTGTAAAACTCTAAGATCGGCTAACCTGGTATGGAAATCGACCCCCGCGGGCGAGTGGGGAGACGTCGGAGCATACCTGTCGACCCACGTATCCCTGATACCTTTAGATAAACCACCAGAGACCACGAAAAAATCATACACCTTTCCACCAGCTGAGCTAAGACAAGTGGACAAACCTGCCGTGATCACCTGGCCCTCTAACTGCTGAACGAAATTGGAGTCGTCAAGCAGCGAAGGCTCAATATTGAAATCGCCTCCGATCACAAAACTGCTGAGGCTGCTACTGGCAATCGAACCGATCTTCGAAAGCAGGGCCAAATTCCTGTCGGACAAACCCTCGCAGCACGACAAGTAGCAGGAGATGCGCAGGATGGGAGGAAGGTCCCCAACATGAACAACCCCTGCAACGGCACGAAAGTCTTCAACCACATAACCCCCTGGGGGCCAATGAAGGCCCAGGCCAACACGAGCTAGAAAAGCCACACCTCCTGAAGTACCTAAGTCGGACGAAGCCTTAGCACACCCGAAGATCGATTTCCAACCGTGATTAAGGGCCCAGCGCTGAGCATCTAAGGTCTGGTGCGCGAGCAAGTGGTGCTCCTGGAGCAACGCCACGTGCGCCGCCGTCTGCAAGAGCCAATCCTTAGCAGAACTCCAGGCCGTGCAGTTGCAAGTGACTATCTTCAGGTTAATGACATCCCCCCCAGGGGCTGGGGGGGCCCTAAAAACTTCAAAACTTTCAGGCCAAGACAACGAACCTGAGGGACCAGGAGTCTGCGGGCCGACAGGGGAAAACGCAAGATTGGGCTGAACACCAGCCCGCTTTTTGCAAAAGTCCCCCTGTTTGCAGACGCCTAGGGTACTGTTGGCGGAACGCAACAGCGAAGCTATATATTTATCAAGAGAACGAATGGACTGGGCCAGGCGATCCTCGAGCTCCGCTCGATTCAAGCTAGCACAGCGTGGAGGCTGGGAAGAAATGGAATGATGGGCCCCCCTGCCCGCGCTCACAGTGGAGTCACGCGGGAGGGGGCAACGGGCACTTGGTGGGGCCCAGGGCTGCCTCAGCACGTGCTCGGACGTCGGGAGGTGCATCGCCAGCGTCGCCAGGCTGCTTGGCCCCCTCGCCGTCGGGCGGACCCGCCGCGGTGCTGGCAGCCGCGCGGCCGTCAGGGCCCGTGCCCGCGCCGTTGGTCGCAGCAGCCTGGCCAGACCCTGCGCCGCCGCCAGCAACGGCCGCGCCGTCCTCGCCCTTCCTCTTCTTGCCAAGACGCTGAACATGCTTAGCTTGCTCCTCACGAGCAGACTGGGCCTTCTCCAGCGCCCCCTTGGAGAGGGAGTTGCACGCCTCGCGGAACTGCTCATTGAGCGCTGCCCGCCGAGCTGCCATTTGCTCCTTGTCGTCGTCGGAAACCTCGTACTCGCCCTCGTCGAAGAGGAAGATCGAGTCCAACGAGACCATATCCAGCACATTGCACGAGCCCTGCATAAGCTCCGACACGTCCACCTTGGCGCGTCCAAGCGGCTCTGCGGGGGTGGGGTCGACCACGTTCCCAGCCAGCTCGCGGACCAGGTCCTTGTAGTTGTCGTCGGCCGCCTGCAAGGACTGCTGAGCCGCCGCCGTCGCAACCTTCTGCTCCTCCACCTGCTTCTCGAGCTTGGTGAGCTTGTCGAGCTCCGTGGACAGCTTGCGCTCCCAGTACTGCACACTGCTGTGGGCCTTGGCCGCGCGCTGCTGGACGGGGGCAGGAGTGGAGGTGCGGAGCAGCTTGTCGAGCGCCGACTTGTGACGGGAGGCCGCCTCGCCGTCGCCAGACTTCTCGCACAGGCCGATGAGCGTCCGCAGCTCGGACTCGGACAGCTGGGCTGAAGATGAGCCACCTGGATGCCCGCCAGCACCGCCAGGGCCGCCAGGAGCAGGCACAGGCCCAGGCTTGAGGGCAGGCCAGTGGGTTCCCGACTTCGGCCAGCCTTGCCCGACGAGACCTGGGAATCCTGCACGCATCTCGCCGCAGTGCTTGCAGGCGATCCAGCCCTCGAGGTTCTTCTTGCATCCACAAGCTTCGCAACGCCAGCGGCGGCCTGACCACGACACAATGTCTTGGCGGGAGGGAGACCAGTTCCAGTGGCCGTCGCCGTCAACCTGGGTGTCCCACTGGCCGGACGATGGCCCAGCCCTGGCCGCCGCCGACCCTGCTCTCCAGGGAGCCTGCGTCGACCACGCCCCACCGCCATTGCTGCGAAGCTGCCAAGCATTCTTGGCCATGCGAGAAAGATACCGAAGCCAAAAAAAAAGGCTCGCACACACAATGCTGTCCTGAAGTTGGTGTGTGCAATGCCCAAAGCTCGGGCACAGGACAGCTGGAGGAGGAGGAGGAGGAGGAGGAGGAGGAGGAGGAGGAGGAGGAGGTTGAGGAGGAGGAGGAGGAAGAAAAGGACTGGGAAAAGCAGGCGAAGAGGGAGTAGGAAGAGAAGCAGGGGGTAGGAGCGAGGAGACACAGTCGGACAACGAGAGACAAAGTCGGAGCAACCCCCAACCCCCAGAGTCTGGGGGCGCCCCAGAGTCTGTACAGCACCTTTTTTCAGATCCCTTGGGGGGATCTGCGAAAGTGTCGCCACTTTCGAGGGCTGTTGGGGATCCAGCGTGGTGACGCCCCCGCATATTTATACTAGACCTTCCCAGCCCTGGGGGGGCTGCGATCGCCAATTTCGAAGATTCTTTGGGGGGGCCCAGCATAGTGGCATCCTACGCAGACCCAAATACAACGGGCTGCAATGTGCGAAACGCTCGCCACGTTCGAGGGCTGCTGGGGGGCATATTCACATTCGACCTCACCATCTTTGGGGGTCTGCGAACTGCGAAACTGCCGCCGCTTTCGAGGGCTGCTGGGGGGTCCACCAGGGTGACGCCCAATGCAGATTCAGATTGGACCCCACCGTCCCCGAAGGACTGCGAACTGCGAAACCGTCGCCATTTTCGAAGGCTGTTGGGGGATATAGCACAGTGGCCTCCGCAGCAGATTCAGATTCGCCTCGCCATCCATTGAGGGCTGCAATCAGCGAAACTGTCGCCGCGTTCGACGGCTGCTGGGGTGTCCAACGCAGTGACGCCCAACGCAGATTCATCTTGCCGCCACTTCCAAACGCTGCTTGGGGGTCCAGCAAGGGCACGTCCGATGCAGATCCAGATTGGACCGCACAGTCCCCGAAGGACTGCGAACTGCGAAACAGTCGCAATTTTCGAAGCCTGCCGGGGGTCCTGCGCAGTGACGTCCTACGCAGAGTATGTTGCGCCTTGAGTGTATTGTCCCTTGGGCTGCAAGGACATCTGGCTGCGCGCATGCTGGCGTTTAACTCTCGCGCTGCAAAGTGCAGGGAGGACGCGGAGAAGCTGGCGGGCGAGCTCGGTCTCGCTCGCGCCGTGCACCAGCTATGAGCAGCTGATCCATTGGGGCGCCAGGGCGGCATGGCGCGGGCCGCGCTGTTTGTCCAACGTGCGGCTTGAGACTAATCGCCACACTTCTTCCTCATCCTGCCGCTTTCGTTGTCGTCCTCCTCCTCCTCCTCCTCCTCCTCCTCCTCCTCCTCCTCCTCCTCCTCCTCTTCCTTCCACAGCCTCACTACTGCTGTCGCGTTACCGTTTCGGCCCCATGTTCCGTCCGTCTCCTGCCCCTGGTTGCCACACCCATTTCCCTTTCGAGCCTGGGGGCCCTCGACTTCCACAACTTCGGCATTCGACCCAACCTGCCGCTGCCAATGACCCGTGGTTCCCGCAGCAATGCGGGTCCACTGCCCCCTGGGATGGGACAGCAGGTGCGTCACCGACAAAGGTCGACGAACACCCCATGCGAGGAGCCCCCCAAACGGGCGACGAACGGCGAATACCGAGGAGCAGGGAAACTTCCCAGATGAATGCGCGGAGACATGCCGTATTCAATACATGCACGGGCCTGACGGCAGGTACAATTAAGACACATATCAGCATGGTTAGTCTATCGAGCTAAGGTTGCGCTGCCAGAGCAACAACATGAAAAGTTGGACGACCCTGAAGTTACTACCATCCGCGCCTGCGTCGGGCGCCGAACCACCATCACTCCTTCCATGAGGAAGGAGGGAGGCGAGCATCGAGAAAGTGCGATGAGAGTCTTGGCGGTGGAGCCTGGGCCCCATGTGATTGCGCGTAGAAGTCGCTGTGAATGTTCGCCCCAGCTGCAACTGTCTCTTTCGCCACGCAGCCACTGTCTGCAACGGCCTCCTGCGCGGGATGTGCAACAGCCTTTTCTCATAGACGATGCGGTCGAAGCCCTCCAGCTCGAAAAGGCGAAATCGAAGCCCCTCGGCCCGCCGTTGCACGCTGCCTGAATGTGGCGGCAGAGGACGACGGCAGATTGAAAAGCACGACGGAGTGGCTGCAACGGCATGCTGTGACAATTACAGACGGCGCCTCAGTGGTCCGGGAGGCCCCCAAGATGGCCTCAAGATGGCGCCCATCCAAGATGGCTCCAAACGGGCCCAAGACCGCTCCAAACTGGCCAAAACTGAGCCAGGACGTTCCCAAGACTCCCCCAGATGACCCCAAGACGCCGGTGACGGCCCGACGCCATCCCCCCTCCCAGTCTGAAGACCGTCCCAGACGGTTCTAAGGTCCAAAAGTGATACCCAGGAGCCCCCGAGGGGCCCGAACAAGAGCCCTTCGCGGCCTACAGGGTTCAGGAGGCCCCAGAGGGACCCTGACACGAGGGCCCCAGGAAGCAACGCAACACACGCGCACCAGTTCGCAGCTTTCCCGAGCGCGGTGGCAGGTGGGCACGACGGCGAAACCGAGTGTGGTTAAACAGACGTGGGCGCACACATTCGATACTTGCCTTCACAAGTTGCACGCCTGCATTTCCCCCGAGCAGGGTCGTTGGCCAGAGGCAACCTGAGCGTAGGACAGGCTCGCGACAACCGCCAAGAGGCCGCACTGACACTGATGATTAACAGGCGATATGTCGACCCCTATCCCAGGCTTTGGGGGGTTTTCGAATGGACCAACAAATTGGGGCCCAACCCTGGGATATTCGATGGGGGGCGGCCATTCTTGAAAGGGGTCCGTCCGAATAGCCCCCTTGCGGTGTATCCCAGGGCTCCCCTCCATTTCTGACCTGCTTCATGCTTCGTCGAAACATCGGGGGGTGGGGGGGGAAAACCGCCTGCGAATGATGAAAGAAATGCACACGCTCAAACCTATAGGAAGGAGGGATGGGGAAGGGCAGCGAGATGAAAACATGACAGGCACGGGTGCAAATTGTCGGGCCCCGAGGGGGGCTCCCGTTTGAGTGGGAACCCTCCGGAAGTCCATAGCCCCGCCAGAAGTCACCCAGAGAAAGTCCAATCCTGAGAAACCGAGCGTCGCATAAGTGTGTGTGTGTGTGTGTGTGTGTGTGTGTGAGTGCGCTAGCTCGTGAACGAATGTCGCGAGAGGCACGGGCCGTGTTTTCGCTCCTGGGGAGTGCTGTGTGCTTACCACTGGTGGCAGCTTGAGCGTGGGTCAAGTTCGCGACCATATCCAGGGGGTCGGCCCCAGCGAGAGAGCAACAAACACTGATGTGCCTTCGGCTTGGCACAACGTTGGACTGCTGGAAGGGCGAGGCTGTTCGGAGCCGCCCCCTGTTTCCTCTCTGGCATCTAAGACTTGCCCCAAGACTGCCCGACAAGCCGCCAAAGAGAGCCCCAAGAAGCCCGAGAGGCCCACGAGATGCCAGGCTTAGGTCGGGCATGTCCCCCGACAGGTGGATTTTGGACGAAAAAGTAAGCGTACCCACAAAATATTCAAAATATACGCAACCATACGGAAACACAATGTTTGGCTATACTTGAATATTCCTCCTGTAAGAGGACAGGCCCGACTTAACTCTAAAAGGCCCTCATGAGACAACCGAAGAGACCCAAGGCAACATCCAAGGGGTCTATGGCCCACGCAGGCCCCCGAGATCTCCAGATGCCACCCTTCCCCCATTCAGGGCAGCTCCGCTGGGCATCGGGTCTGGATAGGCTGGTGGGGATACTTTTTCGCCGCGGCCGCAGGCGAGCGCGCCAGCAGCGTCAGAAGTCGGGCGGGCTACGCGCGAACCTAATTGCCTAGCGCACGGGGACCGACGGCACTGGTGGGGATACTTTTTTAGTCAGCGGCCGCGGGCGAGCGCGCCGGCGGCGAGTCCAGTCAAAGCGGGGCACGCAGCGACGAATTAAACTAAAGCGACGGAGGGTGGCCACACCTACAGCGGCTAACCGGGCACTGGTGGGGATACGCGAAGCGTTGAGAATACTCTGGGTTTCTTAATAAGCGTGGGGTGGCCCCCCCCCAGCGGGGGTCAACCTCGCCTCGTCGTCGCGCCGCGACGGGGGTCGGAGCGCCTTCGGCGCGCGGTGGATGCCCGCGACGGGGATCGATGTGGGGCTGTCGGCGGGGTTGGCGCCCCCCCGAAGCTTATTAAGAAACTCGGAGTACCCTCATAGACGGCAACTGCGGCAATGGCTCGATATTTCCTTCGAGAAATAAGAGCGCGGCGCGTGGGAACTCACTGTTCTCGTGTGCGGCGGGGTGCCCGGCGCAACCTGTGCCGCAGAGCCGGGCGCAACCTGTGGAATGCGGGCTTATCCATGAACGATCTCGTTGTGCGGCGGGGGTCTGCCGCAGCCTGCGGCGCCGGGGACATCGCGATTATTAAGTTGCGCGAGCGTTCCGGCGGGGGGGAGGCTTGCAGGGTCTCCCGAGGATCACTGGGGGCCTTCGGTACAGAAGAGGGCTTCGTAGGGCCATCCTACAGACAAACGCGGGGCATATTGTAGCCATATCGGGACGATCGCGACCCCCCGATGCCTCTCGGGATATCGGGCCGCCTTATGATCGTCCTGGGCTGGCCCGTCCTGGGACTGGCGGAACGGCTGTCTGAGGGCCATCTCCGGGCCCTCTTCCAAGCCGCTACACACATCATAGTTCGGCTCCCTCCCCACATGCGCTACACGAAATCCTAGCCCACGGTGTGAGCTGCCCTGCCTTCGGCCAAATGCACTACGGCGCAATGTGAAAAAGGTGCCCAGAAAAGCGAATGGCGTGTACGAGGTGATACGGTGTAGGAGCGGCTCCCAGATGGCAAGCTGTCCAGAATCACCTCGAACCAACATTGGATTTCGTCCAAAGCGCTAGAGAAGGAGGTGACAATGGAGGATCAGCAAAGGCAACAGCTGACATGGGAGCCCAGAACGATGTCGGGGGGCCAACTGAATGCGGAACTGAGTACCCAGACCCCTGTTAGAAATTTCTTGAAACGCATGTGCCACTCTTCGAAGTATATCGGATCTTCGAGTTGAGCGTGTTTCTATCGGCATCGGAAATAAAAGGCAAACTGCACGAATCCAGACACGAAGTGCGGCTCCCAAATTACTTAAATGATCAACTCCATTAGCACTGAAAACACAACCGTAATACGGCACTGCCGCGATCAACCGCCCGCTCTGGTCATACGCAACGCTTATTCCAGTGCACCTATGGCAGGGAGGTGATTGTAACGAACGTGGCGTTCAGGACGACTGTGCCCCAATCCCATGGTGACTTCAGGGCAACACATGAACCTTGCAACTCAAATAATTGAGAGCAAGCTTCCTGCGCTGCTGTTCGAAAACACGCTTCGACAAGGCTCATGCAAGCATTTACAAACATATGCATGGCGAATTGATGCAGTCTTCACCCCACATAGCAAAGATCCACAAATATTGGCATTCGCGTTACAGCGCCTGGGAGAATTACAGGGGCTGATGGGCGTTCACCATGATCCAGACCTGCACATCCCTAGACTTTCACTTGGCAGCCGTCCACAAGGACTACGCTCTTGATGCTCAAACAGGCCGACTGCCTGACCGAATGTGGAGAGTCGCAGATCCCATGGTCACACCGTCACGACCCAGAAACACTGAAAGGCTGTGCACATGAAGCAGGCGGCCGGCGCGCATGGCCCCAGACATCCTGGGTCATCCTGTTTTCCCGTCGTCCGCAGAGCTCTTTCCCCATCCCCTGCACCGGTTCTCGACACGGGTCATGTTCCGCCAGCCAAGGGGCCCGACAGAGGTTCTCGCGACGCCGACATCTTCCACCGCACACGCATGCAGCGTTTGCGTGTCGCGAACCCAGCCGAGGTCTGGTGCCGTGCCGACGGAGTCGAAAAGGTGCGACGGGCGCGTGCGCGTGCCCCTCCCGCCGCGCCGCACTTGGCGAGGCTCTGGGGCACGATCACCGCGTCGGCAACCACGAGGCGGATGCCGTCCGCCTCGAAGATCTCGGCGTAGCGCTGGTCCATGCCCTCCTCCACCATGAGGACCCGCAGGCCCACCCTCCCGTGGGCGCGCTGGCGCCACGACGCTGAGCAGGTGCTGCGCGGAGGAGGCGGAAGCAGGGGGGGGCGGAACAGGAGGGAGAGAAAGGAGGAGGCGGACAAGGGGAGTCGGGAGGCCTCGGGTACATCCATCTGGAAACGTGGTCGCACGCTTCGAGGGGGGGGGGCATCAAAGCCCACCCGAGGCACACAAATGCCCACCTGGTCACACAACACCCTGTCCCCCCTCCTCTCCAAACTCCCCCTCGCCTCTGAGTCCTTCCCCGCCTCCTCCTCCTCCTTCCTCTTCAGCGTCCCCTATGCTTCTTTCCCCGTCCTCATCCTCCGACGTTTCCCCTTCCTCTCAATCCTCCTTGTCCTGCTGCCCCTCCCCGTCCCCCGCTACACGTCGTGGAATATCAACCTCGGCCGAGGCCCTCGATCCCACCTGTGCGGTTCCCAAGCAATGCTTGCTCTAAGCGGACCCTGCTTGGATTCTGCGGAATCTGACCCTGGGGGGAGCACTTTGAACCGCCGTAGCCGCCGCGTGGGGCCTCGGACATTCCACGGTCCGCGCTCCCCACTGGCCCCGAGGATCGCGCGTCGTTGCCGACGCCGCCGTTGCCGCCGCCCGGGGCCCCGGGCAGTCCCCCCACTCCCACTCCCACCCACCCACCCACCCCCCCACCCCCCCACCCCCCCACACACACACAGACACACATACACACACCTACCCCCCCCCCCCTCACCCACACCCACACACACATACACATACACATACACATACACATACACATACACATACACATACACATACACATACACATACACATACACACACGCACACGCACACGCACACGCACACACACACACACAAACATACACACACACACACTGCGCGCTGCCCTCACTGGCCTTGTCTGACGCACGTCCCCATGCCTTTCACCGCGCAGAATGACATGGGCCCAAGGACACACAAACATATACACACAAGCCCCAGGATTCCCCATATTATCACATGTTTTCTAGACTTTCGCCTGCCCCCCCCGCTTCCCATATGTTTCGCATGTTCATTGGAATCGACGATTCATTGTGTCTGTGTGCTGTTTCTGCATGGTTCCCCCCGGGGCCGTAGGCGACCCGAGGAGGAGAAGGAAGAGGAGGAGGGCGAGGAGGTGAGGAGGAGGAGATGGAGGAGGAGGAGGGAGGAGGGACGATTACTGGACGATTACTTACCAGACAGCAAATCCCGCCGATATGCCGCTGGCGCATCTGGGGTTATCTTAACCCTTGCGGCGCACTTCACGCTTTGGGCGCCTGGGGGCGTTGGGGGTGCCATCGGGCCACTCGGCCTTGCCCCTCGATGAGGGGACCTCCCAACGCCGAATTTTATTCAAGGCCTCTTGGCCCGCAGGGGTGGGGTGCCCTTTACACACGCCGACGATGCCCGCCCCCAGTCTACCACCCGTGGGGGTCTTCGAGCCAAGGCACCCACACCTCCAACAAAAAATCTGGCCATACAAAATTGCCGCATTATGTGACTCATGCACCGCCTTGTCCCCGATACTGTATCGAAAGGGGAGACGCACAGGTAAACCTTGAGACTCTACTCTATGGAACTGGGGTCCTGGGCATTTGCCACCGCGAAGCCTGTCCAAAACAGAAAACTTCCCTGGGCCACTCTGGCAGTGGCAACACACCCAGGAGGGGCCAACCTTGGAGACCTGGTGCCCCGAAGACGCTTCCAGAGCCTTCCTTACGCGCCAAGCAGCGGGCGGCACACGGCAGTCCTTACGCGGGCGGCTCTTACGCTCATGGTCGGCACCAGCGAACTCCGCGTTGACAACAGCCAGCCTCCTCTGGACCAACCACACTTTAAATTCATCACGGCCTAGGTCTCTGACCTCTGGGTCAATTTCAGCTGAAACCTGCTCAACTCCTAGCTGGGCGAATTTGTCGGCCAGGTCGTTGCCTCGGGTGACACAAGGGGTCTGGACCAGGGAGGCTAGCGAAATTCTATCTAGGTGCGAATTGCACTTACCGAGCATCGCTCGTCGACCTTGAGCTTCAGTGAAGACCCTCTTCCACCAGCCTTTGAGTTCTCCCGAGGTGTCCGAGGAACCGTGCCAACCGTCGTACACGATCTGGCTGTCCGTGTAGAGCCAGATTGGCCCTTTTGTCATTTTTAAGGCCCACCAGAGGGCCGCCAACTCCGCACACGGGACCGTCTGGGCTCCGTCTAAGCCCCCGCAAGCTCCTGGCCGAAGGGGTGTCGGGGTCGTCATTTTCCACACAGGCAGCGGACTGGGCAAAGTAGTAGACACCCCAGCCCGCGCGCGCAAGGCGCGCGTCGCAGCTCGAAGCCGAGCCGTCCAGGAAGGCCAGCTTGCACTCGATGCGGTCCTCGAAGTTCACCGTGCCCTCGAACGTGACGGTCGGCCCGTCCCAGTCGATGTAGTACGGCAGGCAAGGCGTGCCCCATGAAGGCGGGGGCGGTACGGAGTTCCACGTGGATGGTAGTAGCCCTCTTAGCCACAGCTCCAGGTTGGTCCCGTTGGTAATGTCTCGGATAGCTTCATCACATAGCTTGGCACTCTGACGGATCCAAGGGTGGTACTGACCGCATGTGTGAGGGCAGCTCCAGACGCGGTGGGCCATCGTCTCTTTCTGGCCTGTCGCGCACCTGGTACAGACTCCATCACACTCGTAGCCTTCAGCACGGCAGCGATCCTCGGTCCAGATGGTATTGCAAATAACTGCTTCTAGCGCACCAGCTTCCCGATGTAACTCTGTGCGTCTCATTCTCTGTAGGGTTCTGCTTGCTGTAGTGAGGTCTGGCGTAGAACTCCATCCTCCTCCGTGGCGATCTCTGGCCGCCTGCTGCCACAGCTCCTTGATGACGTCCGCCGTGATGGTCGCCATGAGTTGGGTGGTGTCTTCATCTCCAAGCAAGTCATCTGATTGCTGACTTTCCGAAACTGGTAGCCCGTCATCTGATTGCTGGTGCGGTTGTTGGGCCATCTTCCATTCATTTTGTTGCGCATCCGTCCAAGTATCTGGCTCAAGTAACTGCCATCCAAGTTCGGTAGGTCCCTGGATGAGCGCCGCCATCGGCCCCGTCACCACATTCCAGCGTCCTCTGGGTCGTGCTCGCTGGAGTCTCTGTACTGCAGCATGCAAACCTCCTCGTAGTTTGCCATGGTAATCTGGCCACCGCTTCCACAGCTTAATCCATTCTGATACTTGGCGGCGGAGCCCAACGGCTTTTGGGTCCTTCTCGAAGTAGTGCAACAGCATCACCATGGATGTACTCCTGCCGCCCGCCGTGTACCCAAGCATGTCTGCTGCTTCTGCTCTGGCACGTCGCACCGCCGTGGGAGATTGGCCTACTGCGGGGACGCCGTATGATGACTTGGCACGGACATTGACTAAGTTGAGCGTGGCCAGCTTCCGTCTACGCATGCCTGCCCCTTTGAAAACCCTGGCTCGGCGTATTATTGCTCTGGCCGCTTTGCGTCTCTCCGTAGCCGTCGTGGTGCGCCTCTTTCGTCCTCTCGCCATGTCAATGCCGAGGTCGCGCACGTACGCGGCTCCTTTGACTGTTGCACCAAGTTGCCGAACTGCTTGCGAGACTGCTTTGTCGATACTTGGGTGGGATGCCATCGCTGCCGACTTGTCCGACATCTCCAACTTGCTCTCCATGCATCCCTTGACCAGCTCGACCGCAACAGTGGTTAACTCGTGCTTAACCTGCTTGTACGGGCCATCAGACCTCGCCGTCACGTCGTCCACGTACTGCCTGGGGAGCGCCCGGGGTACCTGATTGTGAGCTCGTTCCAACACTTCGTACAAAAATGCCCTTGCACCATTATTTGCGTCGTTGCACCCTGGTACGATGTTGTTCCCAGGGATAATCGGTGGAGCGAATGCACCTCCTGCTCTGATCGCTCTCGGAGCGAGGTATACCAGACAATTGAGGTAGAGCTCCACTGGGGGAAATTCAAGCTTCAGAGCGCGATCAATCAAGATCGGGATGCTGATCGAGTCGTAGAACTTCTTGATGTCCAAGTAGATGGAGCCCCACGCCTGCGTTCCATCCCATGCGCTGCTTTCGTCCATGGCCATGCTGAAAAGAGCTGCCTGGAGTGCTGACGACTGAGCCACTGCTGCATCCCAGAAGGCTGCCTTCTTGCTGCTCCACTCTGCCATAGTTGGTTGTCGGATCCGCCCCCAGAGTCGCATTGGTAAAGGTATCAAGCCGATCGGCCTCTCGTCTCCAGCTTTCAAGTTGGATCCCTTGCGTAGAAGTTCATACCAAATATGTAACCATTGGTGCGGCCATGACAGGCTTTGCTCGCATCTGGTGAGCAAGTCGGCCAATTCTTCTTTGGCCTGGGGTGCCAGCGCCTTCAGATGCTGCGCTTTCCACATGTCCGAACCTTGGCCTGAGGAATTAGGCGTCATCCTGAGAGCCGCTTCCAGTTGGTCCAATGCGATGGGTTCACGCTCTGGAAGGTCTGCTTCAGCCCTTGAGCGGAGCTTCTGCATTTGTGTCTTTGTCTCGTTATACTCGTCGTGCTTGGTCCATCTTGCTTTCCATTGCCTGGCTCTCGTTTCCACCGCACTTTGTAAGTTGGCAATGACTCCACTACTGTCGGGGTCGATGCACAGCTCAGGGAGCGAGAGGGATTCGGGCCGCTTGGGATATCCATGCGCTTCCTTCATGTTGCCGTCCATGGCCCCCCTTGCCCAACGGTGGATGCTCTGCTTCGCTTTCTGCCAGGCTCGCTTGCCATGTCGCTCTGCCCGCTGCGCCGCTTGAAGTACTGCTTCACTCCACAGCTGATGGTCTGTGTCCAGCTCTGTCTTGCGAATAATATCCAAAGCCAATGAGTCTTCCTTCTCGTCTTGGCGCACACAGTTGGGGCTGGACAGTGGCAGTGGCGGGTACTCCAATGATTCTATGTGCGACAATTGAGATCGTATCATTCCTCGCAGTTGCTGCTGTCGAGTAGAGCT